AATTCCGAACTTTTGAAACTCGACTTTTGATTATGCAGACAACGAGAGCGGTGCGGAGATATTCATTTACTCGGTTCGGGGAAATATTATACGGCTGTGCATGCGGTGCGGGTGTTGWTGTGTGGTGGGTGGGCGGGTGGACGAGGAACGCACAACCCGCGTATAACGTTAATAAAATAGAACACGTTGTGAATCGAGATGTGGGTATAGCTGGTAGRGTGACCACGCCGACGCAGGCAGAGGAACTAGTCCCAATGCGACTTGTAATATAACACAGTAATAATATCAGTTGAATTAAAAATTTAAATAATGTTCGTAACATACACACACACACACATTTAATTACACTCCATAAAGGTACGTACTGCGTAATGTAACATCATGATTAAAAGTATAAATCAACCGAATWTTTAAAATAGTTTATATACGTCTTACTTTTTATGCAGTTACCTACTTTTCAATTTAGTTGACGAAAAAATACATTTATTAATATAAAACTATATGGGCGTTATGTCATTTATACTTAATACATAGGTAAGTACGTTCTAGATACGCGTCATATTTTCTACTATTTTTCCCAGTATTTTCTTTCGGTGTACTAGTGTGCACAATGTGGTATTTTTAAATTATATACTCGTACTAAACTGAAACAAAAAAGGAAAGTTATTCTCGACATCCATGTTTCTACTTATGTACGTATAGGTTTACCATATAAATTAATTCAAATACATGAACCAATTTTATTATTTTTAATTCGTTATAAAATAAAATCTCGCTGATGTTTCATATTGATACCATAACAACGTGTAAAATTGTTGATACCTATATACTTGGGAAATTTGAATCAATAAAAAACAACCACTATAAAAATAAGTAGTTATATCAAGATTATATTATGATTTTTGTCAGTCCTAATATTTTATTGAATAAAACCCATAGTGGCGTAGTCTTCAGATTATTTGCTGCTATTTGTTGCACRATTTTCTGAGATGGGTCAATGAATGTCCATGAACTAACTCAGAATAAGAATGGAATACGCGCCAATTATTTAGTTGGTTACGTTTGATGCGAATATTTGTAACACAGTATATTAATATTTTTTTTTACATTTTTCATTAAAATTATTATTTCATTTACAGCACGTTCTTGTCAGTATTCAGTAACAGTGAATAGACGAAAAGCTGAAAAAAGTGCTAGTAACAGTTGAAAAAAAGATCAGTCTCGTCGTCTGGTGATTACATCGTCAAACAATGAACCTTGAGGAAGACGATCATCCATTAGTTCAATTGTTTCTATAAGTTTTTGGTGTTTATTCGTTCATTACTATAATTTAAAACCGCTTACTGACTTTTAATTTTGAAAGTGGTTATTTCTTATGACTATTTAAAGAATTAATTTAAACATTTGACATATTTTCAACAAAAATAMTGTTTTTGTAGGACTTAATATGAATTTAAATGTAAGACACAATTGAATTAAAGTTATATTATTCGTCAAGTTTAACATATTATCTGATTATTAAATTACTAAAAATTACTAGAATTTAAATGTAATATACAGCGAATATCGAAAACTACGGAATTTACCGACAATAAATGCCTTTCGTATTATAACAATTTTTCTCAAATTTGAATTTCTTCCACATTAACGAGTAAACTGGTGTTTACAATGTTAACGACTTCAGTACAGATAGCAATTAAATCGTTTCTGGTTTCATCCAGCAAAGAGGTGATGGCTACGATGCGTTCCTGATCGCTGTCTTGGGGTAACTCCAAGTATGATTCTAGCTCACATACACATTTACGCTTATCATTCGATAAATTATTGTATGCTTCATATAACTGGTTTCATACTTCTTTGTTTAATGGAATATGAGGATTTTCGTCTATATACGCTTTGAAATACTTAGTAGCAGTTTTGTATTGACTAAGAGCCATTGAAGTTTTTGCTTTCATCAAACTAATATTCATGGTGCTTGATAAACGTATTAAATTGAAAATTTAACTATTATTTTAACTTAAAAATAATACTGTAATAACATATTCAATATACTGAAATTTGTCCAATACTTGTTACACTGATGAACCACTAGAAATCTTTTTGCTAAATATGTGTTTTACTTGTCAATGTTTGTTGCCCTGGTAAAGTCATTTTCATGTATGGGAATGTATTTATTTTTATTTTTAAATCAATGAATTTATTTGATAAAATCTTTAAAAATAGTCTAACCTAAAATTAGATAGTAATATTCTATATTTCTAAACATACGCTTTCATGAATATATTTTTTTTTACTTTTTTTATAATGTTTTAAAATATACAATTTATTGTAATAAATTTGTGCCTGCTTGTCATTTGTAACGTAGAAAATTAATAATAATCTTTAGATTTTGCCCTAAAGTATAATATTATAATGAGTCTTTAACGAATAGATGATGATGAGTGACGCTGAAAACGTTGATATTATTGTATATGCCAAAATTTAATAGTGACCAATAATATGTTAATTACTTTATCTTAATAGTAACATTCATTTTTAATCATTTAAAAAACTTAAATTAAAAACTAAGTTTTAAGAAAATTAATGTTTATTTTAAATCTTACAAACCATATATCATAGTATGAAGTGCTTCCTCTGAAGTCAAAAATAATATATTTCTTACATGCGAGTACATTTATAATATCTCCAATTATTAAAATAAAATAATTTTGTGATGAGAATATAAGATGAGTATTAAAAAAAAATATTTGACATAATGATACTAATCATATAGGTACAATGTTAGTATATTTACATATTATGTATAATTACATTCAACTACGTATCAACTTACCTATCTAAAGTACTTGGTCGAATATTGACAAGGTATGGTATACTATGAACACGTTAAGGCAAAAATAAAATTTAATCATATTAAGAAAAAGCCAATATTAATAACTGGTAAAATTTTCAAATATCTACGACTTATACTTTTTGAATAATAACAAATATTTAAAATTGTTTGAAGATAAATCGTTATCGTTACACTATTTCGTAAAAATTTAAAATTCAATCGCACTTAAAGTTTTTCCTATAATGATGCTTCGAGTTTTCTCTATAGGTACTTGAAGGAAAACTTTTGGAAAACTTAGTGTTGTATTTTTAATCCTTATAGTTATAAACACAAAAAATTTTATGATTTTTCAACTTCAAAATTACTTGCAAATGTTCGCGTTTTCGACAGATTTGAACTATAAACGCTTATAAAAAAAATTTATGACTAACGATTTTTAATTTTTTTTAGCTACAATAAGAACAACTCATAAATAACCTTGTATTAAATTTTCAAGTTTTTTTGGTGATCCAAAATTTTTTTACCGATACTTAAAAAAAATTCTCATAAAAATCGAAAATTTCAGTGGTCTATAAATAACTGAAAAAAAGTCAAACAATTTTGAAAATTAAACTGTATATAGATAACACTAACATAAACATTTGGTGAAAATATCAAGTATTTACAGTGATTAGTTTTTGAATTACAACCATTTAAGATTTGGTCGAAAATTGGTTTTGCGTAAAAATTCCCGTTTTTCTATCATTTTTTTTTTTTTTGTTTTTATTCGAAAAAACTGTTTATTTAAAACTGTTGCCTGTTGGAAAATTTTTACTTTTGACCTCTATAATGCACCAAGGATATTCACTTTTACATCGGAAACCAACCCCAAAAATTGAAATTGAAGCATTATTTCGAGTTCAGAATCTAAAATTAAGCCATTACTTATTAAGTATTATTATAAAAAAACACACACACACACACACATCATGGTAAAATCATAAAATAAATACATACCTTACTCCGATCAGAATCTAAAAATACAATAAAATTATGATTACCAAATGATACATTACTGTCATAGACAAGTCTCAATGAGTTAATTAATAACTCTATGCGATCAAAAAAATTCACAGAACAACATTTATTATACATATCATTTCTGAAATGAGCAATAGTAAGTACTTTCGATACTCGGAGTTACCATTACAGTAGATTGCTCTATATGTAAATTATTATATATTAAGATATTAAGTTATATATTATAAGAATAACTTGTATGAATTATATTTATGTAATTAAATAAAGAACAAATAATAAATAAACAAAATGTTAAATAATATATTCATTGTAAAGTATATAAGTGTGTTATTTGCCAGTGTGTGTACGGCGATGTACTGTCAATTCGCTACATTGGCTGAATGATTTTCCACACACATCGCACACATACGGTTTTTCGCCAGTGTGTGTACGGCGATGTACTGCTAAGCTGCCACATTGGCTGAACGATTTGTCACACACGTCGCACGCGTACGGTTTTTCACCACTATGTGTGCAACGATGTTTTGGCAAATCGCTATTCTTGTTGAACGATTTGTCACACACATCGCACCCGTACGGTTTTTTGCCAGTGTGTGTGCGTCGGTGTACTGTCAAATTGCCATTATTGCTGAACGATCTGTCACAAACGTCGCACCAGTACGGTTTTTCACCACTATGTGTGCGTCGATGTACTGCTAAGCTGCTACATTGGCTGAATGATTTGTCACACACATCGCAAGCGTACGGTTTTTCACCACTATGTGTGCGTCGATGTTTTGTCAAATCGCCAGTATTGCTGAACGATTTGTCACAAACGTCGCACCCGTACGGTTTTTCACCAGTGTGCATGCGTCGATGTACTGTCAACTTGCTACTATCGTTGAACGATTTGTCACACATATCGCACCCGTACGGTTTTTCATCAGTGTGTGTGCGTCGGTGTACTGTCAAATTGCCATTATTGCTGAACTATTTGTCACAAACGTCGCACCCGTACGGTTTTTCACCAGTGTGTGTGCGTCGATGTATTTCCAATAGGCCACTTTGGTGGAATGATTTGTTACAGATATTTCATGGATAATTTTTCTTATTCATTTTTTGGTTGGAGTGATGGCAGGCTACTTCTAATTGTGCACAATTTATTTAATATTTATTTCGTAAATCTATTTGGTAACTATAGACTTTTTTGCTTATGATCGATTAGATTTTATTGACCACACCAGATTTTCAAGCCAGTATTTGATGTAGTATTTTTTATGTAGTATGCTCAAGATTTAGAGCAATTTCATTTTTTGAACGAATTGTCACCAATATTAAAGTAATTAAAAAAATATTATAAAATATATAAATAATTGTACTTGCTTCGGCAGTACATATACTAAAATTGGAACGATAAAATATAAATCAATACAAATGAAAATAAGGTGAAAGCTGTATATATATATATATATATTTATTTTTTATTTTTTATTATATTATACATACAATTAAATACATACAATTGAATAAAAAATTATATACCTTCCGTAAGCATAGCTTGTGTCGAAGGTATAGAGTTAACTATTTTATATAATATATAATATGTAAATTTACAATTTGATTTTTGGTGATTACATACTTATTATGAACAACACAATACATTAAATTATTTCTTAAAGATTAGGTTTTTAAGAGAAAAAAGGAAAACAGATAACAGAGTTTTCATTTACAGATATAAATAATTATTGATTTAAAGACATAAACAACCATTTTACAACTAATGTTTTGGCATTAAAAATTTTACAGACAATGTTTTTTTTTTGTAATTATAGGCATAGAATTAAAGTAGGTTGGACCAAGGTAGTTCACGAATTTTTGACCAAATGATTTTTTTAAATAACTAACTTTTGCATCATAAGCTACTGTCAAAATTCAAACTTTGAATACTTTTAAAAAAAAAGTATGCAAATATATTTATTTTATTATTCAACTGCTATTGTAAAAATATGATAAGAGCCTTGTATTAAATTTTCAAATCTTAGATTTAAAAAAAAAAAAACTTTATGAATTTCTATCTAAGATAATTTGAACATTGCCATAATTTTTACGTATTTAGTCAATTTTTAATGCTTATAAAAAAAATCGTGCCTATGTATTTTTAATATTTTTCAACTGCTATTGTTACAATGTGTTAGGAGCCCCTTAAATAAAAGTTAACATTTTCCAACAGTTTTCAAAAAAATTAGGAAAAACAATAAAGAAATGACAGAAAAGCGGAAATTTTTACAAATTGTTTTAAGCTAGAAATTCATAAAAAATTTTCTTTTTAAATCTAAGATTTGAAAATTTAATACAATATTCCTTACAAATTTATCAATCTTTATCACAAAAAAATGTCCTTCGGAAATTCAAATTAAATTTTAATTAGCATTTGAATTTCAAAGATTGACAAAAATTCGTAAAAACCATGAATATTTGCAAATTATTTTGTAGTTCAAAATTCATAATATTGTTTGTATTTATATCTAAGGTTATAAAATTCAACACTAAGTGTTCCATAAGTTTTTCTTAAAATAGCTATAGAGAAAATTTGAAGAGTCATTATAGGAAAATGTTTTGAGCGTTTGAGTTTTAAATTTTTATGAAATCGCGTAATGATAACGATTTATCCTCTAACCAGTTATATGTATATCTATGATAATATAAGATATTATGAATTATGATAACTACATGCAATGTTTTTGGAAAATTGATTAACCATGCCTTATGCAAAATGCGTCCTAATTGAAAAATAAAATATTTTTTTCAAAACAGAATATATGACAATATTTAAATATAATATATCCTAGACTGACAAATCATCTCCGTTCAGATGTTCAGAATCGTTTTTCGTATACAATGATCGCATTCAAATCTAACCTACCCTAGTCAGAGGTCCACTCCACCACCTAATGTACAGCAGGGCGACATCCACTTACCCGTTTTTTTTTTTTAGTGATGGAGTTATTATAAGACAATAATCTCAAAGTAATCAAAGTATCAAAAATAATTTAAATATTAAGTAATATATACTTTATGTTTAAATTGCTTTAAATTACATGTATTACTCGTGTACCTATATACTTTTAATTTTTAAATATTATATTGAATATAACAGCCGGGTTGTTCTTCCATTAACTTAAATTAATATAATAAACCATAATAATAAAAGTTTTTGTGCAAAAATGATTGTACCTATTCTATCTAAATTATACACACAACAAAATTTTACTACAAAATATTTTTTATTAATTTATTGTTTTTGTATATTAGAATAAATATAAATTAAATGCGTAATATAATATTGTTTACATAAATAATAAATACGTTAACCCGAACTAACTATAGTATTAAAACTGTGGTAGGTATTCAATGAAAAGCCAATATTGATAAAAAAAAAACTATTATAAAAAGATCTAATGATATATATTATCTAATATCCATACAATACACAATACATACGAATACTTACATACAAAAGAATATTAAGCAGTATTGAGTGTACACATTTATAAATATTTGATGTATCTATTTGATATTATTATTACGTGCTAATCATTTTCTGGATTTATAACACCGTAAAAGTATCAAACGTTATCCGTAGGTATGCATTGTATATGAACGCTTCTTATTGAATAGGTATTCAAATGTACATCATTAAGTTAAGTATTCTGCTGTTGAAGACAAGTATGTTGTTTTTGCACTGGATATTTTACAAAATTGGTAATTTTAGTGCAAAAGCTTCCTGACTGCCCTGAACGTAATGTATATTCTTAAAAAAAATCTATACCACCTACAAAAATAAAATAATAATTTTACAAGTTTCATAGTTCATATATTTTTCAATATTTCAATTTAATTTATTATATTAGGTCACTATCATAAAATAATGACGATAAATAATTAACTACAAATCAACTTCGATGACTTAAAAATTATTATAGGAATAATTTTTGAGGATGCATTTTATATAATTTTCATTTCCAAGTATAATATAAAAATTTGCTTATCATGCTTTGAAACATAGATTGTAAATATCATTTTAAATAATAATAAAAAATATATAGTTAAACATTTGCAGTTGTTTTTCAAAGCCAAGGGTAAATCAATAATACAACTAATCGGAGTTAATATTAATAGCCTGGTAATCTATGATGATGAAAATTAAATGTTTTAAATGCACGTAAATTGTTATACACCACACTATGATAGGTAATAAGCTTTGCCGTGTTCATTTCGGTAGTTATCAAAGAAGGTCAGAATAACATACTAAAATAGTTTACTATATTTACTAATCTTTGACCATGACCCTTGTACATACAAGTCATATATATATTGAATGGAAATTACAAGTTTTATGGGTATTGGTGCATAAATTTTATAAAAAATCAAATTTTAGACAAATTTAGGAATTATACTTGTTTATTTGTGGGTTATAACTTATAAGTTTTTTATATATGGACTAGCTTTTTATTTGGTGAAAAACTAAGAGTTATCTTTATTTTTATTGAAATATATTCTAAATATGAGTAAATAAAATTTAATTAGGTTAATCTTTTTAATGTTATTTATATTTAAGATTATAAGTCATAAAAATAAATAATTAGCAATCACATTAAAAATGTTTGCATAAATAATTTATATTTCTGTTAAAAAAAATGTTATAATATCAACCCACGATCCAAATTTATTCTGTACTATCTAATACCTAATAATTAATAGTTATAATAAATAATTTGACATATTTTTAATTGGAGGGGGGGGGGAATCCAAATTTAGTACCACATGTCACATATCATATTTTTGATTTGGACTTGTTTTGTATTAAGAATTTAAACAATTAACTAAATTTATTAAATCACAAACTTTAAAATCTTAATTTCTACATTTGTTTTATAGCATTTTAAAATTTTGCCAACTACAAAATAATTATTCCCTCGATGTACCTATATAAGTATATAATTAATAATTGCTTTGATTCCTTAAATTGTCATTATTGAGTTTATAAGCAGGAATTAATCAAGTCCATCTATACCACGACCAATAATTATACCTGATGATTAATAAGGTTTAAGCCGTTTAAATTAGGTATAGTAACTAAGAATAATATAGTATAAAACCATTGAAGGGGAGGGACATTCATAACTTTGTCCGATCTATTTAAAATCTGCCCTAATATTTTATAAATCAATATTTTTTTAATGAATTTTACAAGTTTTTTAGTAGCTTTCTTTTTAATAACTATTAACAAAGTAATGTTATTATAATGATGAAATGTTAATCTGTTAGAATCGTGTCGTAATATTCATTATTATAGGTATGAGGTACATAAAGTATAGTGTAAGTACATACAGGCTATTGTTATGATTTTAATACTCAAATTTTTTTCTGAAACACTTAATTACATGATTTAACTCAAGAGTCGGGGATTAAAAAAATGTATTATATTATACACTTTACATAGGTAGTTGTAAGCTTAAATCAAAATACTTTGTAACGTAGATATGATTTTGTTTTCATTAAAATAACCTTCACCCAGTGTATGTAGGTACTTGTCCAGTGTATGTCACCCAGGAAATGAATGTTAATCTTTGCACCGATGTGCGCCAGTGCTGCTATACTGTCTCAATTTATGCGTCTTGAGAGTATATTATGGGTTATGGCCTTGTTCAAACATATCAAACCAATAATTTTTTTCAATGGATCAGCGCCCGAATAACCTTATCTCTAGCCTATAATAATAATAATGATAATAATAATTACAGCTACAAGAATAACACCCATGGAGGTGTCAATMAATATTTTGAATTGGCTTATAAAAATAATAAAGCACTACAAACATTGTAAGAACTCAGTTCTTGCTTCTCAAAAATCAATAAATAGTAGTATGTATGCACATTATAAAATATATTATCTGTTGCTGTGTGTTATTTTCATTTTAATTAAAACAGGTGTCGTTGCCCTAAAAGTGATTATTCTTCTGTGACAATGAACTTGCGCGACCTGAGATTAACTATATTAATGGCTATTATTCATTATCTGTGCGA